TGCTTGGGAAGTTAAGGTTTCCATCACGGTTTAAATCAAAAGCATCCACGGGTTTCAAACAGGGGTAGGCCCTGGGTGGTCATCCCAAGCTCAGCCTCCTCTTAAGACATACCCGGGAAGATGTACTATTATGGTGAAGGGATGCTTGGCTGGGGCGGGAGGCTGGGGGATGAGATGGAGTCAAGAGCATGCCCTCTAGATCTGAAGACAGCCCCGTCTTCCCAGGAGGTAGGCTGGGCACAGAGAGAGCCAACAGCAAGGCAGATGGCATAAGATGAGATGATTAGCTAAAGCTCTCATTTTAAACTGGTTTCACAAACTACAAACAAGTGAGAAACCAAAGGGCTGAGAATTCTTAAAAGTACTCTGAAAAGAGGGTTGATGTTAGGAGTCTATTCTTCTGAGCAGTTAAGTGAGCTCCAGGTTCTATCCCTGAATAAGAAGCACTTGTCACTTTTTAAGAGCAACTTGCAACCACAGGACCCAACAGTTGCTGTCAAATTCCTTCAAACTCCAATGAACATTTCAGAATAGTTCAAGGCACCTCCAATGAACAATTCACTATGTGCTTTTGTTTTTCTGACCATCAAGTATGTGAAGTCAGAGGACACGATAATGATCTTTATCCTCCTCTTGGCAAGGGAGGGCTTTTTACACATTTTTCTAAGACATTCTCAATAAGAACCTTAATACACATTACCCGCAGAACTCCTTTCTTCAAAATGAGAAAATGCTTATTTTTTCCAGATTTAAATAGTTAAAAGTGGTAAAGTCACAAGGACATTTTAAAGTCAGTCTGGCATTATGATATCATGTATTTAACTGTACAGCTAAAGTCTTCAGAATTTATAGTGTAGATGAGATCATAAGGAAAAACTAAGGCTAGTAAGCTATAAGGGCGTTATCAATGATCTGCTTACACAGACTCACCTAGAGCCTGCGCTAGGCAGACCCATTTACCACCCACCAAACAAGGCTGGTGGGTCATTCTCTCTTAGCTCCTTGTGGACCATCTAGCACAGGAAATATTTCTTCAGCAAGTGCATGTACTATACCTGACAATCTTTTAAACTGCTAATTCTGAATCTTTCGCTATCTGTCCACACCTGAACGTTTCTGAGGCACACCAGTCAAGATTCTGGCACCATGTGCCTCAATTTGGGTTTTCTCATGACTAGACTTCATGTATGCGTTTCTGTCTCAATGCATATCATTAAGGAACGTGATACATTGTCTTTTTACTGGAGATGCCAGGTTTTTCCACTGTGAGGTTATAATTCTTCCTTTGCAATTTATAAACATTTTGGGAGAGATGTGTAAAAATCCCAAATTGGAAGAGACTAAAGGAGACATGACAAATAAATGCGGAGTGAGATCCTGGATTAGATCCTGAAACAGAAAAAGGATATTAGTAGAAAACTGATGGAAGTTCAGCAAGGTCCACATTTCAGCTAACCGTACTGTGACAAAAGTTAAGTTTCTGATTTTCATGAGGATATCTGATAATGTAAGGTGTCAATGTTAAGGGAAGTGACTTTTCTGTAAATATAAAGTTCCTTCAAAAGGAAAAGTTTATAAAGCTGAAGATTTTGATTCCATACATCTGGACAGGGTTTGAGAGTCCATGTTTCTCACAAATCCCCAGCAATGGCAATGCCTCTGCCTCCACTAGCAAGGCCCTGGCAAAAACAACTGGTATATTTCACTATTCACAGCTTTTGAAGGACAATCAGCTAAAATGCATCAAGGTTACATTTCCAGCACAGTAATCACCACCTGCCTAGAGGCAATCCTTAAACACTGGCCCAGTGATACAAGACAAGCCTCCTGCAGAGGCTAAAACCACAATCTTTGCTCTAACACCAGCTAAGCCTGGCACCCCTCCACAGCTCTGGAGCCAGGAGAAAATCCAGTGGGAATGTACACCATCCGCCCACAAGTGCAATGCAGAGGAGGCCATGGGGACCGAGATATGGCCAGTCATCCCACTGCCACTGGGCATTTGTTACCACAGTCAATGGGAGGCAGGAGAGCAGGGTGATGAGAAGGGATGCTGGAATACCTACTCACACAGAGCAACTGGCCTCAGAGGTGAACTTTGCTCATCCCATTAAAGTGACTTTTAGTATCATATAATAAATCCACAAGAAAGAATATAAGATGTGCAAGAGATTCTGCAAATTTCTGGCAGACCAGGAGGATTAATGGGGGAAGAAGAAACAGTAATCGGAGCACACAGGAGTGCATACAACAAAGGAGGCCTCCAAGCCTGTAAAGGCTAAGACTCCAAACCAGGAGAGGGCGAGGGCTGTTCCTGCACATGGAAGTCAGGTCCCTGTACGAAGAGCTGTACAAGGGCCCTCCATAGACCAAGTGGAGCAACCCCCAATCAAAGGCATCTTCCTTAAGCTTGAGAGGCCCAGAGAAAATCTGCCTTCTGACATTTGAGGTCCCAGCCCAACAAAGTTCCCCAAAACCTAATGGGTAACCTGCATATTTTCAAAAGCAGTCCCACAGGGGAATTCCCTGGTGGTCCAGAGGTCAGGACACCATGCTTTCACTGCTGTGGGCCCGGGGTTCAATCCCTGGTTGAGGAACAAAAATTCCATAAGCCGCCATGTGGGTGTGACCAAAAAAAATCAGCGCCCGAAACTCACGAGTTCTCTGCCTGCCTCCTCTGGCCTTAGACAACAATTGCCAGTATTTGAAGAGTATTTGCCACACAAAGCAAAAAGCCAGCCTTTTTAAAAAGAGAAAAACAGTGACAGAATAGGACACAAAAAAATTAGAGAACAAAAGAGAACTAAAAAAATTCTTACTAGTATCCTCAAAGTCAAGGAGATAATGCATTCATCAAACAATATATTACGAAAAAGGAACAAAATAAATCCTTAGAAATTAAACTTTGATTGTGGAAATTAAAAATTTTAAAGTAGGATTGGAGGATAAATGTTTCTATCCCAGAAACAAGAATAAGATGACACAGGAAGAGCATTAAGACAGAAGATTCGGAAGGTTAATCCAAGATGTCCATCATCCAACTAACAGAAACTCCTAAACAGAAGAGTAAAAGCAGAGCTGGAGAAGGAAATAGCAACCTACTCCAGTATTCTTGCCTGGAGAGTCCATGGACAGAGGAGCCTGGCAGGCTACAGTCCATGGGGTCACAAGAGTCGGACACAACTTAGCGACTAAGCCACCACCAAAAGCAGAGCAGAAGACATTCTCAAGTGACACAAGAGACTTTCACATTCCAGAGCTGAAGGACAAGTGCCCAGAGTCAGAAAGCAAATTCAGAGGACTCTACATTTTTGGGGAATTCCAGGAATGTCTTAACACCAAAGAGGTTCCTGAAGAGTTATCCAAAAGGAATAAGGCTACTTGGCAGTAGGTTCTCATTGAAATAAAGGAAGTCAAGATTAAAACATGAGACCTGAACAAACTCAGTTGTACAGTAAAAGAAAATGTCAGGATGATACCGGTGCTGGTCTAAGGAGTAAACAATCCAGATTAGAAAAAGGACACCACAAGGCTGAGGAGGGGGACGGTAAGACATTTAGTGCTATCCTTCAGAATCTAAAACAAGGTAAAGTGGGACTTCCCTAGCAGTCCAGGGGTTGAGACTCCATGCTTCCATTGCAGGGGGGACAGGTTCAATCCCCAGAGAACTAAGATCCCACATGCCTCAGGGAGCAGTTAAAAAAAAAAAAGATAAAGAGTCAACAGAAACAGCAAACAAAAAGAAAGGCCATCACAAACAACAGAAAAAAGCAAAAACCCATATAACAGGGGAAATACACTACCTGGCTGTGAAGCAATATCTGCTTAGTTATAAACAATCTGAACTAACTAAACATAATGAATTCAGGGGATAGAAGAGGTGAGGTGCAATATGAAAAATTAAGCCATCCTATCTGTTAACAGCAAGTCAGGAATGTATAAAACCAGTGAAGCGCCAGGTTATTATTTATAGCTACGAAGAACTTCCTCAAGAAACAGCAAAAAGATAAAAGTCTTGGAGGAGTGGAACTGGGAGGTGGGGCAGGGTCTGTTTTATAGTTTTCCACTTACACTTTGTGGCATCATTTTATTAAAGTACCAAACGTGTGCAATTTTTTCAGAACACAGACTTGGGACAGATCACGCTCAAACCTGGCCGTGTGTCCCAGGGAAGCCCCTTCCCTCCGTGGGCCGCAGCCACCTCCCTGTCCACCTGACCGGACCGCCGCGATGAGAAGTGCTGGAAACGCTGGTGGGACCGGCCGCAGCACTGGACCCACACACAGCATCCGCCTTCTCAAAATTGGAGCCTTCATGACAGGACCCGACGTCCCAGGAGCACACGCTTACTTTAATCGCCAGACAAAAGGGGGCAAAGGAGCTTAAACACACGGAGTTAACGTTACCGGCGGCTCGGAAATTCCGAGCACCGGGCAGGGGTCCCCAGGGCCGCCCCCGACCAGGGCCCGCCGCCCGCCCATCACGAACCGCCGCCTCCCGCACTTCCGCCCGCAGCCGCTGTCCCCGAGTCCGCGGCCTCCGGCCTCCCGGGTCCGTCGGGGGGGGAGCCGCCTAGCCGCCGGCCCGCCCGTGGCCTCACGACCCGGAGCAGCTACATCGCAGCAGTAGCACGACCCCACCCCGCCCGCCCGCGGCTGGACGCTGCTCTTGCGGGCCTGGTCCCGGAAGGGAGGCCCGCTCCGCGACGGACCCCGCGCACCGCGACGGCGGGGGCGGCGGGCCGGGGGATGGGCGGCCAGAGCTGGGTGCGGGTGCGCTGAGGCGCGGCGGGCAGGCGGCTTGACAGAGCTGAGGCGGGGGCGCACATGACGGCGGGCCGTTGGGGCCGGTCGCCGGGTCGGGGGGGGCGGGGGCGGCGGCGCGGGCGCCGCGGCCGGAGGAGGGCGCAAGGAGGAGGGAGGAGGGGAGATCTCGCTCTCGCTCTCGCCCCGCGGGAAGGGGGAGGTGGAGACGCGACCGGCTGCGGGAGCTGCAATTACCGTGTGGGCTGCGGAATTCTCGTGGTGTTTGTCGGGGAGATGCGATAATGGCGTCCGTCCTCGCGAGAGAAGCCGCCGCTCTGCGCAGGCGCCGCGAGTCCCTCCCCGCGGCCCTCCGCCCTGCACCATCTGCGCAGGCTCACCGGGAGGGGGTTAGGGGGCGGGGCGGGGCGCGGCGGTGGGGCCTGCCGCTCGGAGTCTCCCGCGCGCGCTGGGCTGGCGCCGACGACCGCTGGGCATGCGCACGGGTCCTGCATCCGCGCCACAGATTGGCCCCCAAACTTCTTACTTCTCTGTCACGCGTTCAGGCTTCTCACTAGCCCATGAAAAGTCGCGTTGGTAGACGGTTCGAGGAATTTGCATTTTCTTTGAGGCCTAATAAATAGGAATTAGTGCCACAGACGACTACATGTCCCGGAGGGCCCTGCGCAAGCCTCGAGCGTGCATTCTGGGACTCGTGGTTCCTGCGTCTGCGCGAAGCCTGCTGGTACTTGTGGTCCCATCCCCCCGACCCGTGCCAGCGTGTGGGATGCTGGGACTTGTAGTTAAGTTGTGTAAGTCAGCTGCGCCGGGCGCGGCTCTGGCCACTGCTGCGGTGGGGTTCCCCTGAGTAGCAGGCGAGTTCAGGGGTTCCCAGGGTCGTCACAGGCTCGAAGACACGCTCCTGGAAAAATATATATTAATTATATGTGATATATATTTTATGTGTAATTGATGTTTGTTATGTATTGTGATGTTTGTTATGTATCCTTAGAAAAGGCAGAGGAACCAGAGATCAAATTGCCAACATCCGTTGGATCATAGAAAAAGCAAGAGAATTCCAGAAGAACATCTACTTCTCCTTCATTCTCTATGCTAAAACTTTTGACGGTGTGGATCACAACAAACTGTGGGAAATTCTTATTAAAAAGATGGAAATACCAGACCATCTTACCTGCCTCCTGAGACACCTATATGCCGATCAAGAAGCAACAGAACAGGACATGGAACAATGGGACTGGTTCCAAATTAGGAAAGGAGTGTGGTCAATTTTGTATATTGTTACCCTGCTTATTTAACTTACATGCAAAGTGCGTCATGCAAAATGCTGGGCTGGATGAAGCTCAAGCTGGAATCAAAATTCCTAGGAGAACTATCAGTAACTTCAGATATGTAGGTGACACCACCCTTATGGCAGAAAGCAAAGAGGAACTAAAGAGCCTCTTGATGAAAGTGAAAGAGGAGAGTGAAAAAGCTGGCTTAAAACTCAACACTCAAAAAACGATCATGTCCTCCAGTCCCATCACTTCATGGCAAATAGATGGGGAAACAATAGAAACAGTGACAGATTTTATTTTCTTGGGCTCCAAAATCACTGCAGATGGTGATTGTAGCCATGAAATTGAAAGACACTTGCTCCTTGAAAGAAAAGCTATGACAAACCTAGACAGCATATTGAACAGCAGAGACTACTTTGCCAACAAAGGTCTGTCTAGTCAAAGCTATGGTTTTTCCAGTAGTCATGTGTGGATGTGAGAGTTAGACATAAAGAAGGCTGAGCACTGAAGAATTGATGTTTTTGAACTTTGGTGTTGGAGAAGACTCTTGAGAGTCCCTTGGACAGCAAGGAGATCAAACCAGTCAGTCCTAAAGGAAATCAATCCTGAATATTCATTGGGAGGACTGATGTTGAAGCTGAAGCTCCAATACTTTGGCTACCTGATGCAAAGTCCTGACTCATTGGAAAAGACCCTGATCCTGGGAAAGATTGAAGGCAGGAAGAGAAGGGGACAACAAGAACGAGATGGTTGAATGGCACCACTGACTCGATGGACATGAGTTTGAGCAAGCTCCAGGAGATGGTGATGAACAGGGAAGCCTGGCATGCTGCAGTCCATGGGGTCACAAAGAGTTGGACAGGACTGAGCACCTGAACAACAATGTATTGTGTATAGAATGTCCATATGTAATAATGCAATGTTATTTATATATGAATATAAACATAAGTATGGTTGTATTGTATTTAAAGAGCATAAAAGTGTGTTTGTGGGTACTATAGGAAAAACAGTCCCAAACTATAGACAATTCTCAGGAATGTTATTCCTGCTTACCAGTATTGCTAGGAATACCACTGCTTTTCATTTTTCTTCTTTACACTCACCTCTGTCTCCTGAGTTGTTTACAACGAGCTAAAATTCCTTGGATCCTCCAAACATGAAATGGTGGAGCTATTTTCTTTCAGAAAAGAAACGATTTACTGTGAGTTTCCTGCCCAGCTCTCTTTTGCCAATAATAAAACACTAAAGGCAGTAACCAGCCGTGGGGCCTTGGGTAACCTTGTTGGGGCTCTTCCAGAATTAGCCCACAGGGTTCTTCTGAGACTGGTCACCAGATTCCTCTGCAGGAAAAGTTCCCTCGAGAAAGCCCAAAGAAGGTTAGAGCAGGGAAGATCATGGTATTGAAATGAGATCTGTCCTATTCAGAGGTGAGGAAGAGAGTTGCTCTGCAAAAAAAAAAAAAAAAAAGATGAAAGTGGGGCCCTGAATCCAAAGCACTTGAATCGGGAGTCCAGGGTCTGCTCACAGTGGGGAAAGGGTTTCTGAAGCCAACCACAAAAATCCCGAGAGAGCTGTGCTTTCTGTCCCCACCCCTTCCTCAGTCACAACCAGTCTGAACACTTAACTCTAAAATTCTTGCAAGGATACATGCATATCTTCATATTCATCTGAAAGCAGATGAATGTAAGGTGATATTTTTCACACTATTTTAAAATATCACCAGGTCCGCGTCTGCAGCCCCCTTTCAGGTGTGGGCTTGCCTGCTCCTTCCTTTCCAGGCCACTGCTCAGTCATCCTGAGTCACTTTTAAGTGGAGCAAAACAGTAATTGTTCTTAGGCTGGAGTGCTAGACTTCTCTTTTCTGTTTTTGATGTTTCTGTTTTATTTACTTTTATTTGGGCTTTCCTGATAGCTCAGTTGGTAAAGAATCTGCAGGCACTGGTTTGATTCCTGGGTCAGGAAGATTCCCTGGAGAGGGGATAGGCTACCCACTCCAGTATTCTTGGGCTTCCCTTGTGCCTCAGCTGGTAAAGAATCCATTTGCAGTGTGGGAGACCTGGGTTTGATCCCTGGGTTGGGAAGATCCCCTGGAGAAGGGAAAGGCTACCCACTCCAGTATTCTGGCCTGAAGAATTCCTTGGACTGTGTGGTCCTTGGGGTTGCAAAGAGTCGGACAGAGCTGAGCTACTTTCACTTTCGTTTTCACTTGCTGCCCAGGAGCTGAGACAAGTGAAGGTGTACAGTATTGACACCTAACTGATTCCCCATGGTTTTAAAAAAATCAAATAGCTAGAAATCAGCAAAGACCACGGCCTCCCAGTGAAATTCACTTCCCTACCACAGGGGACCCTTCTCCTTGCCATCAAGCCTTACTGGAATCTGATCCAGGGAACCCCTGGCTGCCCAGTGGTTAGGACTCTGAACTTTCACTCCCAGGGTCCAGGGTTCAATCTCTGTTTGGGAAACTAAGATCCTACAAGTGTCTTAACCAAAAATAAATAAATAAATAAAATAGAAAGAATCCAATCCAAGTTCCCAGAGTTAACTAGGCTGAAGACACATCGATGGGAGCTTTATAGAAACAGAGGGAGGTGCATGGTGGCCTGGATGGCCCCAGAGATGGGGGCCCATGTGGATGCACATGTGCCAGGCGTTTGCAAATATCTCCCTTGTTTGAAACCGTGCAGGGCCCACTTCAGGCACACTCTGGAATCCTTAGAAGCATCCTGTTCCTGAAGATGCACCCATCAGGGAGAAAAGTAAGTTATTTATGAAGCCCTCAGTCATCCAGGAAAAGCCTAGAAGAGAGTATAAACTCCAAGAGCAGGCTGTTGGAGCAGGCTCAACCTGGGCTTGGAGTCCTCGCTCTCCTGCGGCAAGTCAGCCGCCTCCTCTGGGAAATGGCGTTTCAAACCGACAGCTCGCAGGCACATTGGGAGGATTCAAGGAAGCGGAGTTTGTTAAGGGTTTAGCGGAGGGTCTGTCTCAGGAAACGGGCATATTACTGTGTGTTGAGTTACCTCGCCTAGGCCAGGCACATGATTATAATCCCTTTGCATTGTGCAGGATGTGAATTTCAGAGAGGTTAAGCAACACTCATAACCATAGCATGGCAGGGCTATTGCTTCGAGGAGGAAGCTTGCGAGCTGTGGCAGGAAAGGTACTTAAGATGTGGGATGTGGAGGTCCTTGTCAAAACTTGCCAAGGGACAAGTTTTGTCTTTGTCCTAAGATAACTCGAAGCCTTTCCAAGTTTTTGGGACAAGGGTGGGTATGAAGAGATTTGCATTTTCAAAACTCACTCTGGTTAGAATGTTGGAAAATGAGTTGGGGGTGGGGAGGAGGGGTCCGGAGTGGACTTGGGGAGAGCAGCGGAGGCTGTGGCAGGGGTCCAGGCAAGAGACAACGGAGACTTGGACTAGGGTGGTCACAGTGTTGGTAGAGAAGCAGGGGAGACAGAATCAGAAGATTCCAAGGGGTGATTCAACAGGACACAAGCACAGATCTGACCCTTGGGTGGGCGGGGGTAGGGGGGTGAAGCGCTCGATGCCACCTGGACCTGCAGATGTGAGGCTTGATGGACGGCCGTGCTGTTCCCAGAGCCTGCCCAAGGCAGTGCCACCCTGGGGCCCCTTCTGTAGTTCCTCCCCTTCCCCAGACACCTGGAAGAAACCTGGTTTGGGGTGAACTGGGGTCTTGGGAACAGAGCTCAGAGATGATCCAAGGGAGTGGGAAGGAGCAGGATCCAGCACGTCCTGTAGCTCCACCCCCACCTGGCAGGGAATTTCACCCAAGCCAGGACTGGCAACTGCCGCATGTTCTGAGCCATGAAGAAATTTAAGGAAGTATCATCAGTAAAAATTCACTTAACGTGAAATTAACCATTAACCATTCAAAGGTGTACAACCCAGTAGCACCAAGTGCATTCACAGTGGTGTGCAACCGTCACTAACTGGTTCCCGTATGTTTTCATCACCTTTCCCCGTTACTTGCCCTCCTTCCCCCCTCCTCCCCCAGTTCCTGGCAGCTGTCTATCTGGAGGTTTCATATAAACGGCATCACACATATGTGGCCTTTTGTGACTGGCTTCTTC